TTGGCTGTTTTTTTTAATATCTTTTCCCTAATGAGTTTTGTTTCCTATATTTTTTCCCCTAATGAGTTCTTTAAGTTATCTTTTCCCGAAGGAGTTTTTTTTTCTTGTTCCACCAATGAGCTTTTTTTCTTACCAGCCCCCCCCCTATGAGTTCATTTTAATTTTCCCCTATTGATACTTTATTTTTTTCCCCTTAATAATTTTTTTTCTGATTTTTTCCTTAAGGAGTTCTTTATATATTTGGTCTCGTGTGATGTTTTCGAAAATTTTGGATCGCCTTTTAAAATATACTTCTGTATTGCCTAATATATATCAATCATTCACAACATTTCCATATCTACAAAAAAAACTGCGCAAATTATTCATATCTCTACATTTAAATACGTAAAGAAAAAAAAGAAAAGACCGCAAAAAAAGTTTGTTTCCACTTCATCTCTTTCCAAAGGTGAACGTATTCTCGCGTGCGCTTCCCTGCCTTCAACTTTTCTCTTCTCTGCTTTAATCAGCATTTTCATCCTTAAACCAACAGTTTTTCTTCCCTTCCTCCCTCCCTTCTTTCTTTTTTTTCCTTCCTTTTTTTGTTTCTCCTTCCTTCTTCTCCTCTTTTTTCTCTTTATCCTTCCTTCTTTCCTTCTCTCTTTCGTTTATTCCGGATATAAAGAACCGATTAAAATTCCTTTTTAATCCGTAAATGGATCATATACCAGGGAATAAGAAGGCAAATTATCGTATTTCTTTAGCATTGAGAGTAATAAAAAAAATATATTTTTTAAAAGATTAAGAAGACATGAAGGAAGAAACAGCATTTCTCGAAGAAAAAAAGAAGAAAAAGAAGAAGAAAAGAGCAAGAACAAAACGAAAAGCAGAAAAAAAAGAAAAAAAAAGAAAGAAAAAAAAAACAGCTTTTGGATTTTATTTCTGGAACACCAAATTGATTGCTCGGTAACGAAGTTAATTGGAGATCCATTGGAAGACAAGTTGATCTATGCTCCCCGCAGTCATTTTAAAAACGTTCTTTTACACTATTTTTTCTCTTTTTGTCTTTATCTGTCACCTTTTTATTTTATTTTTGGTTTCTATTTTGTTGTTATCTTTTATTGTTTTCATCCTTCTGTTATCTTTAATTTACCTTTATCACTCTTTTTATCTTTGGCATCATTCTCCTTCTTATGCCATTCCTAATTTATCTTCTTATGTTTCCCACAGTTCTTCGCGATGTCAAACGATCGACAGAAAAGGCAAAATGAAAAAAAAAGTTTATCATTGTTCAAGAATATTCGAATTTATTCAATTCTCTCTCTCTCTCTCTCTCTCTCTCTCTCTCTCTCTCTCTCTCTCTCTCTCTCTCTCTCTCTCTCTCTCTCTCTCTCTCTCTCTCTCTCTCTTATCGAGATTCGAGGCTCATCACAATATATTTCAATGTTGCTCTTCCTCCGTCTAATCAAGCGATATCAAAAAACCAAATTTAGGACAATTTAACATTCGTTGCAACATGCAAGGATATAATAAACAACGAAACAGAGAGAATCGAAGTGTAAATAAATCAGCAAGGGAATAAAATGTTAAAAAAAGCTTACCCTCCACTTTTTAATTCATTAGTTTTGAACTTTTTTTCTTAAATTTTGATAGAACAAAGGAGGATGTAATTATCTAACGAAACAATGGCGTTGCTAATGATCAACGGATGAATCTGCATAGAACTGCATGTATATAATACTGTGGGTGGATATAACAGTCATCATCCTACTCCTCATCACCGCAGAACAGTGGCTTCTTCTTAACTAATCTATTAATTCCATCGTTGCAAACTTTTTTTTCTTTCTAATTTCAATCCTTGATTTATAATGATTTTAATTCTTTTTTTATCTCGTCGTTTTAACTAATCCGTGGTCTGGCATGTAACTTTGTGTCATCTTCCCCTTCTGACACAGTGGCAAAGAACCTCTTAATATATTTTAAACTATTAGATTCATTATATTATACCTTCCCAATAATTACTAATATTCACAATAATTCCTAATACACCTGGTAATTCCTAATAATTCATATTAGTCAAAGACACTTCAACGCCATCTACTTCAATGCCTCTTTCTCTCTAGTCTTGCAGTTTCATCTTTTTTTTACTTTTTTTCTTTTTACTGGAATTACATTGGTTTCTACATGAAGGTCGATGGTTGCTATTCCATCCTTGTACAAATCTGTCAATAACTGCAACAAAACTCTTGGATTCCTTGTTTACAAAATGGTCTAGTAATACTGTTGTTATTTATAGAGAATCGAATGCCTTTCCGTCATCAACACCTACCGCGCGGAAAAGGCTTCAGATACTCCTTTGTTTTCTTCCTTATTTGGCTTCGTACGTGGACGTGATATATCATTTAAATATTCACCGTGGACGTCCGACTTCAACTGTGACGAATGTAGAAGAGAAAAATACATACGAATGAGAATGAATAACTACGCAACGCACGAGACATATTTGGACGCGTGTCGATAATCT